TCAGATACTTAGCACTTTTTTGTGCCTATTTGAGTTCCGTTTCCCGCAATTTGCGGTCGCGAACTGTGCCTTTAAGTCGATACATGTGAGACATAACAGCATCGTGCACACTCGCGATGATGAGTCCTCTTCGGAACCCTGCTCGCTCTCATGCCTATCTTTCATCTAGTACTCCGCCTAGCCTTATGAGCAGCCTAGGCTTATGAGCACTGAGCAGTCGAGAAATCATTCGAACCATTCATGTCAAACTGTTGCTCCACAGCATGAAGTCCGTGATCAAGCATGTACTACTGAGCAGCACAATCGAATTGGAACGTGACAGGCTGTTCAGCAGCATCAATTGACGTCACAAAAATTATCGGTGGAGTCACTGGCAACGTCGTCGTCACTTTTGGAAGCCCAGTGTACCAGTAAGAGAAACAAATTTTTAAGGCTCATTATTGATGAATGCACAGCTAGGTGTGGAAGAGTTCCTAGGAAGGAACAAGATAAAAGGGTCAAGGATTCTAAGGGGTCTGGCATTAAAGGGGGATGTAGCATGTATCTTATATCTTTGTCCTGAAGTGTGAAGGACAATGAGGGGTAAATTAGGCTTTTTTTACAATGAAATTCTGGGAAGATAAATGATGACTCACCTTCCAAGCTCTCTGAGACGGTCCTCAAATATAGGTGGGATTTTACCATGCATATCGGGTCCAACGTTCAGGAGATAGTTTCCGCCGCAGGATATTGTACGTGCGAGCTGTACTATGAGTTCGTGCACAGTATTGACGTCGGTACTCTGCAAATGGTGGGGTAATCCATCTATTTTCTATTTTCTATTTATTGCATGTACGCTAGATACATGAGGTAGACATAATTGTAAAATCACAACCATTGAAAAAAAGGAAACAACCTCAAACTGACAATAAAGGGGGAACAGACAACTAGATAAAACGTGATAAAAAAAACAAAATGAAGTGAATGGATTCAGGATTTCTGATCAGCCTCCAAGAAAGCTATAATCAGGTATGGAGAAAGTGAAGCAGCCCGTCTTCAAACGTAGAACTTGTGCAAGATATGCTTAAGTCGGCCAATACTAGCTGGGATAGGGAACTTTTTAGTAAGCTTAGCAAACTCCCGAGACGCTCGTAATGAAAAGAAATTAGATCTGACACTTGTCCTAGCCTTGGACAGACGTAGTTTGGACTTAGCACCTCTGGTGTGAGAGGGGAGAAGAGTGAAAAGATCACGCCTATCAATCGAAACCTTGCCTGTAAGTATTTTGAACACCATCAACAAATCTAATTTTTTTCGTCGGCATAGAAGAGAATCAAGACCAAGCATCTTGTTCCTGATGACACCTCTTGGTATAGCCTTATAATTAGACCCCAAAGCGCGAATCAAAACCTTCCTAGTGAAACTATTTTGAATAGCTTCAAGCCTATAAATGGATTTTTTCGAATGAGGAAAAAAAATCATGGATCCATATTCCAGAATAGAGCGAACGAATGTCTTATAAGCTCTAATAAAGAACACAGGGATCCTTAGTGTACAAGCATCTAAAGAGTTGAAAAAGCTTAAATTCAGCTTTCTTCGCAATGGTTAAGCAATGAGATTCAAAGTTCAACTTACTATCAATTATGAAACCCAAATCTCTGACTTGGTTAACGTTATGCAAGGCAGAGCCTCCTATGTAGTAGTTATTGTGAGATGTAGACCTCCCTAAACGGAGAACTGAAGTTTTGTCCGAGGCCAGGGGGAGTCCCCATAAGTTAGACCACCTAACGACTTCATCGATGGCTACTTGGATTCTGACAGTATCCGCATTGTCAGCTATGGGATTATATATTTTAACATCATCGGCAAACATTTTGCATTTAACTCCTTGTAACTCCACTAGATGCGGTAGGTCATAAGTGTAAAAACAGAAGACCCTTAATATGAACTTGAAATGAGCGATACCGAAGAAAGGAGTCAATCCACGAAATTATTCTATGATGAATCCCGACATGTTGAAGCTTTGCTAAAAGCATTGTGTGGTCTACCTTATCGAACGCTTTAGAAAAGTCAAAGTAAATTACATCAACAGCCTTTTTATTGTCCAGAGCGCGGTCCAGTCATTTAAACACTCAATCATTTGTGTAACTGTAGACTTATTTTTTCTGAATCCATGCTGGCATTCCGGTAAGATATTGTTGCCTTCCAAATGCTCTACGATGACCCTCTTTAATATTTTTTCGAATGCTCTGCAGAAGACTGAAGTTATACTAACAGGCCTATAGTTGCTTGGGTTACGGGAGGCTTCTTCGAGACAGGAATAACATATGAGCGTCTCCACCTCTCAGGAATCTCAGCGCGGAACAGGCACAAATTGAAAATATATTTGAGAGGACCGATGATAGAGGGTAGGATTCTCTTAACGAAATGGAAAGGAACAC